TGGGGCATACCAGGGGTTATGACTTTAAATATAGATAGATAGATAGATAGATAGATAGATAGATAGATAGATAGATAGATAGATAGATAGATAATAGATAGATAGATAGAAAGAGAGGTATAATAGATAGATTGATGATTGATGATAGATAGATAGACAGACAGACAGACAGATAGACAGAGAGGTAGACAGACATATACAGTATATAGAGTGTGTGTGTGAGAGAGAGAGGGGGATATAATAGATAGATTGATGATAGATGATAGATAGAGAGATAGAGAGATAAACAGACAGACAGATAGAGAGGTACAGATAGACATATACAGTATATATAGAGAGAGTGAGTGAGAGAGAGAGATTGATGATAGATGATAGACAGATAGACAGACAGAGAGATACAGATAGACATATATAGAGAGAGTTATAGAGATAGATATGAAAGAGAGAGAGAGAGAGAGAGAATACTATATGTAGGACTATAGATCACAGCACGCAGTCGGGGTTCTTCCAAAGATTAGGATTTATTTCATGCCCAAAGTGAGCATCTATTCAAGTTAGCCACTGAGCCCAAGGAACAAATTTTCAAAAAAAAGGCAGACCCGTGTTTGATTGTTGCTGCTCCCTTCTTTTTCTTGGCCCTCCTCTCTCCTTCTCCCTCCCTCCCCCCCTCTCTCTCTCAGACAAATTTCAGAGGGCAGCATCTTTTCTCCAAGGACGCCTCTAACCTTTCTTTCTCTCCCTCTCTCTCTCTCTGTGGTTTGCCTGCAGACTTCCGATACAGAAAGCACAAAAGCTCAGCTCTGGGCAAAGGCTCTGAGCTCTGCCTGAGGAGCCGTCTCTCTCCATCCCTACAAGGCCACCTGGACTTCCAGAATGGCTTTCTCCTGGATCACTCCGGCATGGCTCCCATCCAAGAAGGGCTGGAGAAACCTTCCGGGAAGCGCAAATGCAAAACCAAACACCTGTCGGGCCTCTGCGAAGAGGGGAAGGTAAGGAGGAGGGGGATCTATGGAGATTCTCCCATCATCCACGTCAGGGTTGTTTTTTTTTTCAAAAGGCAACTGGATTTTGTTTTTCCTTGATGACATTTTCGCTTCTCATCCAAGAAGCTTTTTCGGTTCTGAACTGAACTGAACTGATGAGGAGCGAAGCGTCTTCAGGAAAAACAAGTCTGAAAAAAACACCTTTGGGGTAAGGAGAGGTGCTGGGAATGGGATGGTCAGAATGACCAAATTGGGGATTTGGCCGCATTGATGTCATCTGATTGCTGTACTTATTCATTTGCTATATTTCTATACGGTGGCTCAGTGGCTAAGACGCTAAGGTTGTCAATTAGAAAGGTCGGCAGTTCAAATCCCTAGCGCCGTGTAACGGAGTGAGCTCCCGTGACTTGTCCCAGCTTCAGCCAACCTAGCAGTTCGAAAGCAGGTAAAAAATGCAAGTAGAAAAATAGGCACCACCTTTGCTGGGAAGGTAACAGCGTCCTGTGTGCTTTCTGCATTTAGTCATGCCAGCCACATGACCACAGAGACTTCTTCGGACAGCGCTGGCTCTTTGGCTTTGAAACGGAGATGAGCACCGCCCCCTAGAGTCAGGAACAACTAGCACATATGTGCAAGGGTCATTCTTCCAAATACTTTACACTATCAATACAGAATAAAACCATTCTAAAAGAAAGCCAGTTTGGATTAGT